TTAAACCACCAAGAATGGGTGACTTGCAAAAATTGTGGAAGAAGTCAGTTGAAACTCTGAAGAGCTTGGGTAGCTTCCTTAGCCTTTTCTCACAAGCGGTATTTAGGCATTTTCTGGGGTTACATGGCCTGCTTGGCGAGGAACTGAATCCTGAACAACAGCAGGGGCCCCTGCACGGTGTGACTATCCTGTTGCCAGTGAAGCTGTCTGATGAAGACTGGGGGACGAATACACCAGGAGTTGAAGACATCATTCTGCATTGCTATAATATTATAGCTACTAGATTTCTGACTGACACTCTCCCACATCCCCATCCATTCCCTCCCTCAGATGGCTAGTCTACATTAATAATTTATCCTTCTGGCTACTGTTTGGCTTTGGAATCGTTACATCTAAGCAAGTCAGAGCCACAGAAGTATAATAATTCAGGCTTGCTTAAGGAATTAGAGAGAGAGGAAAAAATAGAGCGCTTCTCTGTGTGTGTCTGTGTGTGTGTGTGTGTGTAGGACATCCTTGCTCTATCATCACAAAGGGGCAAAAACGCAGCTTCTAAGCTGCTAAGAGTCAGTAAGAACCCATCTTGCCTCGATTCAACCTTCCCTCTTACCATTCAAAACCAAAGAGCCAAGAGACCATATATATATATATAATATATATTATATATATGTATATATATTTCTACTGTGTCACTTGAATAAAAATAAATTCAAATGCTACATTAGTTTTCTTGGCTGCAATCTGCCAAGCAGTCCTAATTTCCCTTGATAGCTGACCATCGGTAGACACAGGTTCTGTTATTCCAATCTTACTTGCTATTATTAACTCATATCACATAATTAAAGAGCTCTGTTATGTAAATATGCAGGTTAAAGAATAGCTACCCACAGGCTAAGGTTGTGCAAAGAAGCCTTACTGGAGACAGAGAGCTGATAAAGATACAGAGTCACTGCAGTGGTAAGAAAGATTATTAATGAACCCAGTTGGAGAATTGCTGGAGGTGTAGACCCAGGGTGAAGGGTCTCAGGGTTGAAGGAGGCTTCCAAGTTGAATTGAGCTACATAAGCAATGAAGGGATGGGTGAAAATCGAAATAGGCCCTGTCAGAAGTGGGAACAGAGCTGAGCTGAAACCCTGGGGACAGCTGGAAGTTCTTTACCTGTAGATCTCTTGACAAACATACCAGATGGTCAGATGACAGGTCAGTGGGGCCATCACCATTGCAGTGTTAGGTGTCTTCTTTATGGGCTTCAGGTGAGGGTGAGGGAACTTTCTTTGGTCTGTGGTTTGATAAGTTCTTGGGACTGTTTCTGGTGTTGTGGTTTCAATACAACTATGTGTTCATATGATCCTAAGGTACTTTGATAAGTTTACAGGTTGATACCGTCTTACTTTTAGGAATAAATATTCATCAATGTTTGCCTTGTGGGTGGTCCTGGATAGGTGGCTGTCCTAGTTTGTTCTTCATTGCTGTGACAAAATACTCTGACCACTACCAACTTGGGAAGGAAAGGGTTTATTTATCTTACATTTCCAGGGTCACAGTTCATCATTGAGTCCAAGGTAGGAACTCAGAGCAGGAACCTGGAAGCAGAAGCTGGAGCACAGGCCATGGAGGAACGCTGCTTACTGGCTTGCCTCCCCGGCCCCTGCTCAGCCTGCTTTCTTATGCAACACAGGCCTACCTGCCCAGGGGTGGCACCACCCACAGTGGGCTGGGCCCTCCCACATCACTCATCATGAAGATGCCCCTCAGACATGGCCACAGGCCAGTCCAATAGAGGCAAATCCCCCAATTGAGGCTCCTTCAACCCAGGTGTGTCAAGTTGACACTAAAGCTATCCAGCACAGTGGCTTTGTCTACATGCATAGCAAGGTCCACAATCATTCTGCCTCTACATTTGTGCCCAAAATGGAGATAAATGCTGTTTGTAAAATGAAGTGTCCCAGGGCAAGGTTGACCTGAAAGCCACCATTTTGTGCAATATGGACTAACTTTAAGCAGAACACAAATCTCCTGTGAGGTCTCTTGAATTAGATGGTGTGTCTTTATCTTGTGTGTGTCATTTATTTTATTTATTTTTTGTTTTTTTTGAGACAGGGTCTCCCTGTAACCCCAGCTGGCCAGCAACTTACTATGTAGACCAGGCTGGCCTTGAACTCACAGAGATCCTGCCTGCCTCTGCCTCCCAAGTGCTGGGATTAAAGGTGTACGCCACCATGCCTGGCTTGTGAGTATCATTTAAAAGAAGCAGCAGACTTAACGGTATTGGAAATGCAAGTATCCACCTCAGAAGACCCAGTCAGACACAGCATCCCATGGATTTTTCTCCTTCTTTAGAAATTGCTCTAAATCCACAGCACATGACTTTTTAGCAGTGGGGAAATTCACCCATTCTCTAACTGATGGTCCCTCTTTTGATTCCATTTTCCAGATGGAGCACTTCAGATAGTGGGATAGAGAGATAAATACCACACATTTCCTTTAATGTAGCTTATGGTACAAATAGATTCCCTCCTTTAGTGGACTTTGATCTCTCCAAAGCTTTTTTTCCTATGATTTATTTATTAGTATATATTAATTATACTTAATGTGTTTCATTGCATTTTCATACATGAATACAGGGTACCCCTACTGCCCTCTGTTGATAAAATTCCTTCTGGGAGGCACACGTGGCATCTGGCCCCCTCCTCCCATGTCCTTACAACAAAACAAAGTATAATTTCTTCAAACTACAGTTTGGAGAACCAAAGAATTTATTGGGCTTCTGTAGAGATCAATGGGTGAGGGGGTTACTTACAGAAGTGTGGGCATGGGTGATCTTCCCTCTGCATTATGACAGGGACTTTGTGACAAGCTGTCCAAGACGGCGAAGGCCATCCCTCCTGTCTCACTTCCCCAGTCCCTATCCTTAGTCCCACCCCCATGTACCACTCAGGCCAGCTGGTTGGATGGAAGGTATGACTGACTCTCTCTGCCCCTCTCCTCTTACGGAAAGTTCATTTGTGGCAAGAGCAAGCGGGTGAACCCCAGCTTGAGAAGAAGGCATGGGTCCACTATTTGCCAGTCTAGCTTGCCAGGCAGAGGACAAGTCCATACAACACTCTCTTTGTACTCCCATTTCTGCTGATCCCTTTCCTCTTTCCAACTATTCCCCCTTCTACATTATTATTATTTTTTTAGATGACCTTGTTAGTTTCATTAGGGTTGCTTACAGAAGGATGGGTGAGGAGTTGCTTAGAGGAGCCTGGTTGCCCTACCAGTGGTTATACCACTGAAGTAAATGTCTTTCCCTCCCCCAGCAACCACTAACTACATATGAATCATCAGGCAAAAGGAGTGAGCTTCTCTCTACTTCATAACAGGATCCTGGCCAGGCCAATCTTGTGCAGATCTTGAGCAGATAATCACAGTTGCTATGAGTTCAAGAGTGCTATGGTCACATCATGCCCAGATGTCATCTTTCCACCCTTACTACTGCATCCTCTCTCTCCTTCATTCTTTCTGTCACTAAAGAGGCATACTTTAAAAAAAATTATTTATTTATTTTATGTGTATGAGTGTTTTGCCTGCAAGTAAGCAAGAGTACCCATATCATGCAATGCCTGAGGAGGCCAGAAGAGGGCGTCAGATCTTCTGGAACTGGAGTTACAGATGATTGTCAGCTGCTATGTGGGTGCTGGGAACTGAACCCAGGTCCTCTGCAAGAGCAGTCAATGATCTTACCAGCTGAGACATCTCTCCAGGCCCAGAGGCATACTTTCTTTATAGTAATTGGTAAACTAGCCTTAGAGTCAAGTTGACCTTCTTGGCATGATAGAATAGGAAGATGAAAACATACAGAGCTCTTTGATGAATACAAGAGCTCCATCAGTCCACTCTGAAGTCTCCCTGTAATGTGAGTGGATACATTTTCTCATTATGTAAGACAGTTTGAGTGAGGCTCTGCTATTTGCAATAGGCACCCTAATCAGCAAGTTGGGGATGTGAATCAGTGGTAGAACTCTCACCTGGCATCTTAGACCCTGCGTTGGGTCCCCAGAACCCCCAAAGAAAATTCTCATCAGATATTCTAATGTTTTGCTCATGTTATTTTTTGGGTCTGTCATGTGCCCCATCTTGTCTCTGCCCTTCTGGCCTCAGGACATTGACAGCCTGGGCTGACTGCACCACCTTGCCCTCTTGTTCTCTGATTTCTAGTTAGGATCATCCAACAGTAGAGGTACCAGAAGGCTGTGGGAGGGTAGAAGAGGAACTTGGGGTGTTCCCAACTCCCAGAAGATTAGAAGTTGCTTTCTGTCCAGGCCTCTTCTGGGCAGTAGCATTCCTTCCTGTCTTGCCATTTGGGTCCCAGGAGTAGCGGTAGATACCTGTTGTTCTTTTGGTTCCTTTACATTTGTCCCCACCACTGGAAGTGGCCCTTTCACTAGAACATCTTTATTTGAACCTTCTGTTCATTTTTTTTTTTCTTCCAGGAATAGCTGATACTTTTTTCTGCCTCATCTTCTGTATTTCATTTGTTTAAAGCTATAAAATTCTCCAACCTTGAGCTCTAAGTGAAACAATTTGGGCCGAGATGAGTGTGGGTCAGGGTTCGAGGATCTTTCTTTTTGCTCAGTTATTGGCTTTGGATGAGAGAGACTGGCAGGGTTTCCTACAAATGTTTTAGACTTTGTGGGACATACAGTCTGTGTTGCAACCATGAATTCTGCTACTTTTAAATGGATGGCTGTATATACATTCTAATAAAACTTTATTTACAAAAACAGATGATGAGTTAGGTTTGGTTCCAGGCCTGCAGTTTGTTGACCTTGAATTAGCTCACTTCGTTTATGGTCCTCTGGTGTGGGAAGAAAATTTTTTCTAGACAGTTTCAGATACCAGTGCATTGTGAAGAATGTTTTTTTGGTTACAAGGTGACTCTTGCACATGGTAAAAGCATTCTGGGGAGATGAGTTTCATTTTAAATATAGCATGGAAGAATAATTTTCTTCCTCTACCAGCAGAGAACCACAGAACAATGCAGTGATCACCAGGAAGCCTCACCCTTGGCTGGCCCTTCCAAACTCCCCTCTGAGGTGAGATAGATTTCTAGGTCCAGAGGAAGGCACTGGCTTTAAGGAACAGCTTACTATTTTATGTCAGGTAAGGACAGGAATTCCTGGGGTGGCTCCTGAGACTAGAGGAGAGTTTAGATTGGCAAGCAGTACAGACATCTACCATAAGGTCATGTGTTCCAGGAGCTGCCTTAGATTGTTTAAGGTTAAAATCCCCACCTCTTGAGATTTTCACCTGAGACTGTCTCCACAGTCATCTTGGGGTTGATAGACATGCTGTGTGTGGAAGCTGCAGTGTGACTCTCTGCTATTTACCACTAGGTTGTAAGCATCTCATGATGCAGACTCAGTTCATCTCTCTGTATGCCATAAACCTGCATGAGGTCTTCCTGTATACCACATAGGCCAGTGAACTGAAAATAATTTCTGGCATATCTTTAATATTTTCAGGGTCTGAGACAGTAAATGGAGGTCTCCACTATTTGTTCAGCCTGGCTGTGTTCCCATCCCAGCCCCACAGTTTGCCCATCAGTTATCTATCACCTTGAGGTCTGTGAGTAAGGCTCTCTCCTGGGCCAGCCTGAGAAATTGTATAGGCCTCCATGGGCAGAGCAGGAAACAGGGCAGCTCAGTCCAGGCTTAGGACTTCTGCATTCTGGGTAAGCTGCGGGTGGCTAGCACTCAAATTTCCTGGGGAGACTGGCTAGGCCAGAGTCCTCACTTCATGTCTTATTTGTGTGACTTGGGGTTTCTAGGCAGTGCCAAGGGCTTCCTAGAGTCACCTCATGTAAGTGAAGGGAAGAACAGAACAGATACCTAGGGAATTCGCCTGCTAAAAGTCCACTTTGGGCAATGGAGGGCAGCCAAGTTCAACAAAAGCAGGCACTCTGACGCTGCTCTCCCAGGGCAGAGATGGTAGCCAGCCGAGTCCCCTCCCTGCTTTCTCAGCCTTGCTCCCCTTGGCCTTGGGTTTTGTTCAATGGCTTTTTCTCATAATCTTCATTCACTTATTACTTAACATTAACAAGAGTAATGAAGCATCTTTGGGTGCAGTTTGTGAGGTCTGGAGTGAATCCAAGGGCACACAGAGGATATCATATTCGTCTTTCTGGTGAATCTGTCTGCTGAACCCTGTGTGCCTGTGGTCAGACTTGTCTGCAGGGTTTGCTGACACATACATTACTGGGCTCCACCTCCAGCATTCCTCATTCAGTGGGTTGGGATTTACGCATCTAAGAACCTGCCAGGTGATACAGGTTGTCTGAGCCCACAATGCCATGGGCGTGTAGACTGCGGTTAGTAAAGACCCTAAAATAGACATGCTATTCATAACTCTACAGACATGCCATGGGTTACCCTAGCTGGCATTGGCCCCAAGATATTGTTAGAAACTTGATCTTTAGTAGCTGGGAAAAGAGTGAAACATTCAAATCTGCAGGCAATTTCTAGTCTCTAAGGGTGGGGACACAAATTCACCTCAGAGGAAAATCATTGCTTTTGGTCTGGGAAAACCACTTGAGTCTGCCATTTATTTACAAAAATGTAAATCAAATACTCCCTCACTGTTCTAGAGGGACACGTGAATTCACTGTTAACCTGAACACAGACGTTTTAGACTGAGAAGTGAAGGATTCTAACTGATGATATAAATTTGGGGGGCAAGACGGAGCCAAACTTCTGTCTGGGAAATGTAGTTGTCTGGTGGGGAGAATGAATGTTCCAGGATTTCTAGGCCTGTTTCTTGGTTCTGAGGACACTTTTCCACAAGCTGGTGCCTAGTGTAGTTTTGCGTATGCGACTGTTTGCAGTTGTTTCCAGAACATCTGTACTTTGACCTAAGGACTGTGGAAAGACAAGCATGACTAGAACCACAGTTCCTGAGGCTTGGTAGGCTCACCAAGAATATCTCACCACAGAGGGAGGTTCAGCTACTGCCTTTCTTCTGAGGTGGCGGGAAGAAAGGATATTCACAAGATGTGATGGGAGGGGGAGGTGGCATGGACTGGGAGCTGCACTACAAGCCTGATGGTAAGAATCTTTGAAGAGAAGGTGGGGGTCTGTGGACCCAAAGTCTCAGCTTTTCTGTCCCAGAATTTCATCTTCCTTCCTTAATATCTGAACTTTTGCTGAAATATTTTACAAGCTAAAGTTTAGTCTTTGTTGGAACACAAAGACTTAAAGGAAGAAAGTCCCCTACCTTGGAACTAACTGCAAAAGAGAGATCAGTATTCATGTTATGGCCAGTTCTGAGGAACAGTGGGCCTCCCTGCAGTGAGAGGCTTTTCTAAGTATTATAGCAAGAATGGAACAGAGAAACAAGAGGGTCTAAGCCATGTGTAAACAACACATACCACATGGTGGGAAGGGTGTGTTAGACTCAAGCTTAACTGTGATTTTGAAGCTGTGGTATTGAAAACCTGGATATTTGGGTAGCAAATGGGATCTGGGTGCCATGTCTGGCTACACACTAGAGAGAATTTGGGAATGAGAATTAGCTATGAATTTCCATCTTAAAGATTAGTCATCAGTAATGGAGCTGGAACTGACCTGGAAGCCTCCTCCCTGAAGACTAGCTCTCATAGTATCAGGATACTATGCAACCTGCTAAGGGAGAAAATCAAATCAATGGTTCAACCTCACATGGAAAGCCCAGTAACTACGACAATGACTAGCACAACAAACTATCTCTATTGGTGCAGCAGTAGCACTTTTATCTTGGGGGTAATCAAGAGCTATCTAATTGAGCTTAAAACCTGCTCAAGGAAAGGGAACTCATGTGTGGTACTGTAAACATAGCCACATACACATGGTTCGAGGGGTCATAGATTCTACAGAAAAACCTATGTCTGTTACATTCCTGGACAAATGTAATTTCTTGCTGTTCGCTAGATATGTATCTTTATATTTACAGACAAGTATACTTCTCACCTCTCATCAAGGAAGCTTCTTTTTGCAACAGATGGAGACTATTACAGAATTCCATAACTCATCAACACAGAGAATAAGGGTGTATGAGATGCCCAACCCTAAGTGACATATCTACAATGGAACCTCTATACCTAAGACTCACAGAACATAGTAGGATAAAGGGTAGAGAGAATATTACTGCATCTCTCAACTCTCACCAGAGAAGCTTCCTTATGCAACAGAGGGTGATTAACACAGAAAGTCACAACTGGCCAAAATGTAATGAATAAGAGACTGCAGAATGTGTGTTCTGGTATAGGACTCCTTTATTAAACCTCAGTCACTCAGGATTCAGGGACCATTGTGGAAGATGGGGTGGAAATATTGTAAGAGCCAGGGGTGGTGAATGACCACAAGGAGATCGAGTTTTCCAGGTTGAAATCCTATATTAAACCTCACCCACCCAAGAACCAAAGACTATTGTGGAAGAGGGGGCAGAAAGATTGTAAGAGACTGGGGTGATGGATAACCACAGGAAACAGAATTTTCCTGGTTTCTGGTAACTTGATCATATGAACTTGCAGCAATGGTAACAGCATTCACAAGACCCATGCAAACTCAACCCACATAAAAACCCAGCATAGAACTTGGGAAATAGGTAAAAAGCCCTAATTTTAGCTGAGGAACTCTTGGCAGCTGATCACTGCTGGGTGAGGAAGAGTTGACCTTCTTTAAGGGAGAATAGTTGATGAACTCACATAGAAGGGCATATGGGCACACAAACCTCACTCGATAGGCCTTAACATATATGACAGAATATATAAAATATGGTGGGTACAGATAGGAGAGTAGGGTATCTAAATATGATTAAGATATATTGTATGAAGTGCACAAACTTTCAATCAAAATATATATTAAAAAGATCAGTTAGTAGAAAAAGTTCTGTTTCATTAATAAGATAATTCAAGTCTTCATGACAAGTGAATATTTCTAAAGCTATTTCAGCAAGAAGTGTATTGCTTTATCTGCAGATTTTAGATAGCAAATAAAGTTCCCGAATAGAGTTTCAAGAACTCCTTCCAATTGTATGATTCATATCAGCTTTATTAATACCCATGACATATAAAAAAGTCCTAAACATAGAAGGAGATAAATCAAGTTAGAACAACATAAGGGGCAGAATAGGTGCAGAGGTCACCAAAGGACAAGAACTGTCCTGTAATTTACTTTGAGAGCTCCCAAAACGTCATAATTAAAAGTCATGGAGCCATCATTCCTGCTCCTTTATAGCCCCCCACATCCAGCATACTGACCAAGGCCTTGTGGGCCATCTTGACTTTCACCAAAATGAGTAAGCATACTTGTGCAGAAAGCCAAACAGTTTGGGGAGAAGATACCAACATGTCACAAGTGCTGACTCAGTGAAAAAGTGAACGCTACTACATCAGAGGACTGTACTAAGGATGGCACCATGTGGGTACAGGACCATGGAAGTGACAATCAACTACTCGCTCTGACAAAAATGTCGCTTATGTGAGTGACAGCCCTCTATTGCTTAACAAGGAGTGAGACAGACTATCTTCTCTTCAAGGAAATTTATATATACATTGGCTATTTTTTTCTGAGACAGGACCTCATGGAACTTTAACTCACTATGTAACCTAGGATGACCTTGAAGGCCCCTACCTTCAGAATCCTGGGATTACAGACATGTGCCATTATGCCGTGCTGGAGAGCAAACCCAGAGCTTTGTGCATACTAGATAAGCATGCTACCAACTGAGCTATATCCCAGGTCCCTTTACTGGATTCTTGATCTTAAAAAACTGAAATGACTATTCTTCAGTATTCGGATGAAGGTATCAGATATTAGCTTCTTTAATGATTGCTGTTTGTTCTAGGAACTATAATGCTGGAAGGTTCATATGACTAAGGTCAGATATCATGTACAAAAGGCTTTCCTGAAGTTCTTTTAATTCAGTATCTCCCTTTAATTTCATTTATTTATTTTTTATTTTATTTGTATAAGTGTTTTGCCCACATTTATGTAAGTGTACCCTTGCGTGCAATGCCTGTGGAGGTCAGAAGAGGGTGTCAGATTATCTGGAACTGGAG